GTGATCCATTTTTCATTAAAATATCAATTGCCCCAAACAAATCACTCACCATGCCCTCCTCCCCAATATCATATAGTGAAAATTGCTCTAACTCTTGGCCCTCCTGAAGCAGTAGACCCAGCAGCCATGTCTTGTACATTGTGATCTAGCTCTCTGACCAGAGGTGGGCACCTGCTTCAAAGGCACCAATCCATAGAATTGTCTAGATTCCCATTACTTACAACCAGGTATGGAAATACACACTGGGTCAATCAGAGTCCTTCTCAGAGAGGTGGCATGAAAACAAAAAGTTACGAGTGAACAGAAGGACCGAAGGGAGTATAGCTGAACTACATCTATAATGATGAAATATAGTGGAGACTTACGGAATTTCTAATTCCTGAAGTCTGCATAGCCTCCTCAAATGAAGAACTAGCTTTTAGCACCAATGTCTCGGGAGGCAGCCTGTATGGTTTCTCTTCTTGGATTTCTGAAAGCTTCCGTTATCATGATTTTTTTATTTGTTTGTTTGTTTTAATTTTTGGCTGGGGCTGGGTTTGAACCCACCAATACCACCTACTCTGGCATATAGGGCCGGCACCCTACTCCTTTGAGCCACAGGTGCTGCCCCTTTTTTTTTTTTAAATGAGACAGAGTCTCACTATGTCGTCCTCAGTAGAGTGCAATGGTGTCATAGCTCATAGCAACCTCAATCTCTTGGGCTCAAGCAATTCTCTTGCCTCAGCTTTCAAGTAGCTGGGACTACAGGCGCCCGCCACAATGCCCAGCTATTTTTCGCTACAGTTGTCATTGTTGGTTAGCTGGCTCGGGCCCAGTTCGGGGCTGGGTTCAAACTCACCAACTTGGGTGTACGTGGCTGGCACTATAACCACTGTGCTATGGATGCCGAGCCATCATGTATTTTTCTTAACATTCTTATATGTGAGCTAACTGGAATGAGTGCTTGATAATTGCAACTAAAATAAAGCCAAACTAAAGCATATTAAATAGGAGGGCAAAAAAAGAGCCAATATAAAGAGCACTGAGGAATTAGGAAAGTCTAAACCAGAAGTAATAGAAGTAGATGACTTTGTTAAGGCTCATGAGTTTGCAAATAATGTTACTGAAACCAACTCAAGTTGATAAAAGAGGAAGAAAAAAAGGAATTTATGTATTCTTATGGAGGATACTGAAGTAACTCAAAGGCAGCAAGGATTCT